CTTCACCTGAACTTGATCCTGTGAAAAGAGATTATGTTTTAATATCATGCGTTGGAACATTCCTGACAAATACTATCTCCATGAAGACAAGCAAGAGGTAGACCAGCAGAGAAGTTACGTAATGCCTCTTTAATGTAGGATTCAGATGTTATGAACTATGTTGTGGGCATAGTTGGTAGTTTTGGTGTTTTGTTTTGGGTTTTTTTTAAAGCTTTTATCTAATAATTCAACCATTATGTCTTAAAATACACAATACTTTAGTTCATTGTTTGAGATTTTTTGGGGGGGTCGCCTTGTTACGATCTGCATGTAAGTTTGCAATACACAGATCTGCCTACACATCTGATATTTGTGTTGCTACAAAAACACAAACAGGCCCACCTATCTTATTAGAAATGTTGAAATGTAAAGACATGTTTTGTATAATTTCTAATCTTTTTGTAATTATTTTATTGACTATTCTGTTCCAATATTGCTGGTTCAATTCAGTGTTGAAAAGAAAAAGAAATGGGCTCCATTTACTTTCCAAATAGGCGACTTATGGATCCTTTCATTGCTGTTCAGTGACTGTTTATAATTGTGTAAAACTTGAGTAATACTAATTGTTCAGGGACACCATCAGTCAGTCAACAATAAAATATCCTCTTTAATGTTCAATAATGGTCAAATCCATCTTTATTTTGTGGTTTATGAATAATCTCGAAGGTTTGTGACTTTTAAAATATGGGTCCCCCCCAAAAAAAATCATTTGGAAAAACTCTGCCTTAGTTGCTAGTAAATATTTCTAACAGAGATGGGACCAAATCTTTGTATGGCAAGTCTCAATTAAGTCTGAATTCTTTGACCTCAAGTCCGAGTCAAGTCCCAAGTCAAGTACAGGCAAGTCCAAGTCGAGTCTCGAGACACTGGTCCATATGTCCAAGTCAAGTCCAAGTCGTCTGCTTTGAGCTTCGAGTCATTTTAAGTCTTTAAATCAAATTACCAAATATAGCTTAATTTATATGAATTTTAAGATAAACTGTATTTGTAAAATTGTAGTATATTTATACATGAGTATTTATAGTATATTTTTATTTATTTAGAGTATATAAGAGTTGTAGAAATTATTATTATTTTTTATTTTTTCCTTTTTAAATGTCTTGACAAGATCTTAGAAGGAATCATTACAGTCAGAATGGAAAGAATTCAGTGCTTCTCAGGTCTTCTCAAGTCATAGACCTCAAGTCCGAGTCAAGTCCCTAGTCACTGACCTTCAAGTCCAAGTCGAGTCCCAAGTCTTTGTCCATTTTATCAAGTCAAGTCTCAAGTTCCTAAAAATAGTAACTTAAGTCTGACTCAAGTCCAAGGTATAGGTCAGATCTGTGGAGAGGCAGCCCCAGTTACAGTTAAGTTACAGTTAAATGATTTTAGCGCAATAAAAATAGAAAAGATACATTTAATGCCATATTGTAGAAATTTCAATGCACATTTAAGCATAAAATCGGATTATATAGAATCTTTTCATGCCTAAGAAAAGCCTCAAATTACTTACTTGTAGCAGAAAATAGCAAAAAAAACAACAACAAAAAAACATTAGATTTCTAAAGCGGTATGATAGCGTTTAATTTTCCTACAGTTTATGTACGCGTTTATAGTTATTTAATTTTACTGTAATGGCGCTCGAGTCTCATGTTTAGTTTGGGGGTTTTTCATAGGGCTGGTTGCTTGTTTCTCTCGTCAGATCTGGCAACCCTCAAAATCCTCCCATGGCTCGCTGATCTCAGTCGGGGTGGTAATTACAGACCAGAAGATCTTCATGTGGAGAAAATACAGAGCGATAAATAGTGGGTAAAGTTGGATTGTAACGTTGAAATGAGTGCGCTGGGACAAAACCAAGAATCAACAGGACTTTGTTTTGAGTGTGGTCAGGGAGGCTGTAAAAGTCCACACGGTCCGCCCGCGCTGTGGTGTGTTCGAGTGATCCTAGTAAAGGAGAGGATGTATTTCAGCGGTGTTGAGTTTTTCTTTTGGCATAATTAGGCACAGTTTGTTGCAATTATTTTTGAAATTTATCAGTGGTTTCTTTATAGACCGAAGCCAATGTGTTTCCCAGTGTGCCTTTTTTTTTTTTTTTTTTTTTTTTAATAGGTAATATACTTTTCTAATTAATACTTGGTTTGTTGAGATAGTACCTGTGGTCAAAATGAATCATAGTTTTACATCAGTTAAGTAGTAGTTTGTGATGAAATAAAGAAAACTAAAGTTGGAAAATGAGAAACAAAAAAGTTGGAAACAAATTCTCTTTACCTTTGTCTTCAAGTCCATCGAAAAATTCATAAGAAATGCAATTTTCTGACACATTAAGCATTTATTAACAAAATAAAGGTGTGGATATTTATTTCTGTTTGTTAAATCATAACTATTGTGTCATTTAGATAAATAATTGTTGCTCATGTCCAACCAGAAAGTAAAATCACAAACTTCACCAACATTTTTTTTGTAAAACCTTGTACATTTTTGAATATGTATTTGAGGAAGTAGAGTCTCCCTTCCTAGACTACCTTTACTTTGCTATGTAACTTTTTCTAAACAGACTCATATTCTTTGGAAATGTCAAAATTGGAGCATTAGTTTCAACGTAAATCAAATGTAATGCTGAAGCCTTTTGTCAGTATAGAGGTAATACATTTTGCCAATACTCTTTAAAAGTCTCTTGTGAGTTTTAAGCCATGTTATAATGTTGTTACGTCCTCAAAAACAGACCTGGAGTTGTGTTTCATTCACACGTTTGAGGAACCCTTTATTATTAGTCTAGTCATAGTCATGAAGTTGTAGTTTTCAAGTTAATACCTCCTATCGCTCTGTAAAGATGGACAACTCCAGGGCTGAAATCATCCAAATGATTCTAGTGAAGGTGTGCGGAGTTTAAAAACACAGTGGAGCACTTCCTGTATTACCACGTGACATCACAGTGTTGAACAAAGTGTTTTCTGTTTGAGTATGAGCCCTTTAAGGTAACAGTGCTTTTACTTTTTACCATTTTTAACTACTCAACCTACCTCAGTTTTTGATCATCACTTTTTGTAGCAGTAATGTTTTTCATAGTCATTTTTATTTAATTTTATTTGTTTATTTATTTCATTCATAAAGTATATAAAGACTTTAACAGTGTCACAACATCAAACATACAAGAAATTAATGAAAAGGACTAGAAAGAAGAGTCATCTTATGTTATCTATTATCATTTCAACTTATTTATTTACATTTTTTACAGTCTTCGTTTTTCTTTTTTTTGCTGGAATCTTCAAACTTTTCTCCACTGTCTCCCATTACCTCATATTTTTTAAGAGTGGAACAAAATGACTATTAAGAATGTGTTGAAAACGGTAATTCATTTCCCTCACCGGGTAATTCTGCCAAATTTTACAATGTATTTCAGACTTGTAAACGTTTATGCCAGCTTCAACCATCCAAGGAGAGCGCGCCGTGCCCGTGCGCCGTGCGCCGTGCCCGTGCGCCGTGCCCGTGCGCCGTGCCCCTAAACGAAGCTAATAGCACATGTCTCCTCCTCCTCCTGTGCACTCCCGGGTTTTATAAGAGTCTTAGCATGTCCGTTCTGACTTTATCATTACATGGTCCGGCGTGTTGAGCTTTTCCTCCGTGTTTACATTTGCCAGCTTAACATACACACACACACACCCACACACGCACACACACACGCACAAACACACACACGAGGGTTATGTGGCTCATGGCGACAGCACTTTGACTTGTGGTCATTTTCCGGAGCTGAATCTTAGACTAGCGAGTACCCTAACCTAAACCTTAATGTTTAGAATCCTTTCTTTATTTTTGATTATATTGGGCCTACTTTATTTTGTATTATTTAGTATTTATTTTAACTGTCTAAATGAGACATGTCAAACTCAGGCATGGGGGCCAAATTTGGCCCACGGTATAATTGTATTTGTTATTATTTTATATTTTGCTTGTTCTGGCTTCAGTGTTTAAGCAAAAACTTTTATTAAACATTTATTTTAATAAGAAAAGTTTAACATTACATTCTCGAAAGAAGAGAAAACATGCAGATGTTGTTGAAATATATATATGTGTGTGTGTGTGTGTGTGTGTGTGTGTACATATATATATAGATAGATAGACAGATAGATATAGATATAGATATAGACTTAGATTTAGATTTAGATTTAGTTTGGGTCACAACTTAGTCTCATTTTTATTTTTGACCCTCTGTGAATTCGAGTTTGACACCCCTGGTCTAAACACATAAAAATCAAATCAAGTCAAAAATAAAACTAGTAAAAAAATAAAAATAAAAAATAAGAAAAATCACAAAAGCAAAACCATGTAACTTTCTCGAGCATATATTTAGTTCATTTCTGTTTTTTTTTAAATTACTCAGTGGGGCTTTAAAATAAAACACTTTGAAGATAAAATTTAGCCCATTAACTCTTTATATTATTCCTGTGTATTTGGGCAAGATCCTTGTCTCCAGCCAGTGCCTGTGAAAACGTGCGCACTGCCAAATTTGTGTGATGAATTTTTAATTCATTTACATATATTAAATGTTAAATTGCAGCAAATTGCAATTTTAATGGTCAAATTTAAGACACTGCACATGTAGTTGTACTCTTAGATGTAGTTGTACATTTAGATGTACTCTTACATGTATAAACCTGTAGTTTGGACCTTTCACAAGTCAGTTTTGCTGTTCGTATTTCAGTCTTACTTCAAATTTTAATGCTCCAGATCATGTTCAAAAATCTATACTGTGCATGAAAACATGTCTTTGAAAACAGCTGCACAAACAAAGAAAAAAAAACAAAAAACGCTACTTCTGTCTAGCCTTATAGTCTTACAACAGTGTTACTGTACTCGCTGGATGTCCCCATAAGAGCTACAGACACATGGGTGGGTTCACACGGGGTGGGTGGTGCCTCCGTGTTTGTTGGGGGCGGCTGTGTGGAGATTAGTTGCCTCCTTCTCACTGCCGGCCCGTGCTGATGGTCCCCTCCGAAGAGCTTTTCTCCTCATCACAACTGCAACAACAAAGACGACCCACTCCCAGAGACTGCCGACCCCTCCTGCCGACCCACCACCCACTCCCAGAGACCGCCGACCCCTCCTGCCGACCCACCACCCACTCCCAGAGACCGCCGACCCCTCCTGCCGACCCACCACCACTCCCAGAGACCTGCCGACCCCCACCCACTCCCAGAGACCGCCGACCCACCACCCACTCCCAGAGACCGCCGACCCCTCCTGCCGACCCACCACCCACTCCCAGAGACCGCCGACCCCTCCTGCCGACCCATCACCCACTCCCAGAGACCGACCCCTCCTGCCAACCCACCACCCACTCCCAGAGACCCGACCCCTCCCACCCACTCCCAGAGACCACCGACCCTCCTGCCGACCCACCACCCACTCCCAGAGACCGCCGACCCCTCCTGCCGACCCACCACCCACTCCCAGAGACCGCCGACCCCTCCTGCCAACCCACCCCCTCCCAGAGACCCGACCCCTCCTACCGACCCACCACCCACTCCCAGAGACCGACCGACCCCTCCTACCGACCCACCACCCACTCCCAGAGACCGACGACCCCTCCTGCCGACCCACCACCCACTCTCCAAAGACCGACGACCCCTCCTACGACCCACCACCCACTCCCAGAGACCGCCGACCCCTCCTGCCGACCCATCACCCACTCCCAGAGACCGCCGACCCCTCCTGCCGACCCATCACCCATCCCAGAGACCGACGACCCCTCCTGCCGACCCACACCCACTCCCAGAGACCGCCGACCCCTCCTGCCGACCCACCACCCACTCCCAGAGACCGCCGACCCCTCCTGCCGACCCACCACCCACTCCCAGAGACCGCCGACCCCTCCTGCCGACCCACCACCCACTCCCAGAGACCGACCGACCCCTCCTGCCGACCGCCGACCCCTCCTGCCAACCCACCACCCACTCCCAGAGACCGCCGACCCCTCCTGCCGACCCACCACCCACTCCCAGAGACCGCCGACCCCTCCTGCCGACCCACCACCCACTCCCAGAGACCGCCGACCCCTCCTGCCGACCCACCACCCCACTCCCAGAGACCGCCGACCCCCTCCTACCGACCCACCACCCACTCCCAGAGACCGCCGACCCCTCCCAACCCACCGACCCACCACCCACTCCCAGAGACCGCCGACCCCTCCTGCCAACCCACCGACCCACCACCCACTCCCAGAGACCACCGACCCCTCCTACCGACCCACCACCCACTCCAGAGACCCCGACCCCTCCTACCGACCCACCACCCACTCCCAGAGACCCGACCCCTCCTACCGACCCCACCACCACTCCCAGAGACCGACGACCCCTCCTACCGACCCACCACCCACTCCCAGAGACGCCGACCCCTCCTACCGACCCACCACCACTCCCAGAGACCGACGACCCCTCCTGCCGACCCACCACCCACTCCCAGAGACCGACGACCCTCCTACCGACCCACCACCCACTCCCAGAGACCGCCGACCCCTCCTGCCGACCCACCACCCACTCCCAGAGACCGCCGACCCCTCCTGCCGACCCACCACCCACTCCCAGAGACCGCCGACCCCTCCTGCCGACCCACCACCCACTCCCAGAGACCGCCGACCCCTCCTGCCGACCCACCCACCACCCACTCCCAGAGACCGCCGACCCCTCCTGCCGACCCACCACCACCCACTCCCAGAGACCACCGACCCCTCCTGCCGACCCACCACCCACTCCCAGAGACCGACGACCCCTCCTGCCGACCCACCACCCACTCCCAGAGACCGACGACCCCTCCTACTGACCCACCACCCACTCCCAGAGACCGCCGACCCCTCCTGCCGACCCACCACCCACTCCCAGAGACCGACGACCCGTCCTACTGACCCATTACCCACTCCCAGAGACCCGTGACCCCTTGTACTGACCCACCATCCACTACTAGAGACCACCGACCCTACCTGCCGACTCACCACACTCTCCCAGAGATTGCCCCACCCCTCCTGCCGCCCCACTCCCAGAGACCACCGACCTCTCCTGCCGACCCACCACTCACTCTCAGAGATAACAGACTCTCCTGCAAAATCACAAAATCTTGTCTTATTCTGATCGGTAGTCAGTTCATAAATTTGTCTGTCAATTATTTTGGACGCATTTATAATGTGAACAATGCTTGTCAGAAACTTCTTTATGCAACACATTTGACATTTTCACTGTTATGATGATTAAAATGTCTGTTTCATATGAACTTTGCACAAGAATTGGTTAATTAAATACTTTTATTATCACAGCCACGATTTAGCCTATTTTTTATTTTTTTTATTGAACCATATCAAATTGATTTGAAATATATCACATCGAATTGAAAGTGCACTTTATCGAGATATGTATCATATCGTGGCCTTTGTATCAAGGTATGTATCGTATCAGCAACTTCTTAATGATACCCAGTCCTAGTTATAACACTGTTATGCCTGAAGAGGTCATAGATATCATCCATGCATTCTAACCCTCTAACCCTCCTTACGATTATCTGTAAGATTCTGTGCCATGCTCCGCTCAAAATCCCACGTCACCCATGCTCCCACACAACAATTCTCCATAAATATATAAAAACATGGTCCAAAACTGTAACTGTACAAAGCAACTTGAGAAACCTGTTGTGATGTGCAGTAGTTTCCTTCGTAAAATGCACATTGATTCTATGTTGTGCATCGTGAAAAGGAATGACTTAGCTCGCATAATAGCGTTTCCTTGTTATTAGAATCAGAAACATCTTATTACCAGTGTCAGGGAACAAAAATCACAAACTAGGAAGTAAAAGTAGTAGTAAAAAGTAGAATAACATATAGTCAAATAAATATGATTAAACAAAATGTTACTGTGGTGTTATGTTATGCTCATGAGCTATATTTGCCTCTCAACTTTAAGCCTTGCCCAATTTTAAGTTTCTTTCTTGCCCAAGAACCTAAGAACACTGTGCAGTATGCAGAGGTTGGATCTGTCAGCCTTAAAGATTCATGTTTAAGCTCTAAATCCTGGCAACAAAGAAAAAAAATGTGTTAAATTAAAGCAAATTCTAAAGGATTTATGCCAAAATACACAATTCATATGAAATTATTAAACTATTCTAACATTTATATTGCTGTATTTAATTTATGGGTTGTTGTTTATAAATCATGTAGCCTAATTTAAGAAAAATAGACTGTTTGTCTTAACGTCACTTTACCTCCACTAGGCAGTTTGAAACAATAACTAATGAAGAATTACAGTTTACATTTTATAAATACTAGGGTGTCAAATTATCATGTTAATTGCGATTAATTAATTACAGTCATATTTAGCGTGTTATGTTTTTTAATCGCGTTAATCTCATTTTTAATATCTAACTTTATGCGAGTTGCCTTATTATTAAAATCTGTTTTTATGTGTTGTTGGGTTGCTCCTGCAAAGAATTGCAACTTTCATTCCAGTTCTCGCCTGCATCTGCGATAAACCTGCAATCTTTGAAAACATCGCGACACACACAGAACAGACTCACCTTCACCTTCAACATCCCGCTGTCACAGAAAGAACATCTGTATTCCACTGAGCCGTGTCCTTTAGTCCCACAGAAGCTAAACCGCATCAGCGCACAAGAGCATTTTTTGATTATTTTTTTTTTCTTTTCTCCGCTTAGTTTATGCAAATGAGCCATTCAGTTTTAAGGTTGGTTTCTGTGAGACTTGTGCAAAACTGCATTAAACACATTCTAATGTCAAACGGGCTGATGTGGCTCTAGAGTGGTGATGTTTATATGTTGTAAAGTTGAGTTTATTTATGCAGATTAGTAATAGTAATAATAATGATGACACTGTGTGTAACGCGGGTGACAAAACCGCCTTAGCAGCAAACTCTCTTGCCTCGCTCCTGCTCTGTTTGCGTCTCTTTGCATGCGTCCGATCACGTGACCGCGGGCGCCCAAGTTAGGAGCTTATATTAGCGCGAAACCCTGAAGCAGGTATGTTTTTAAGTCTCAATTCGCCTTAATACGCGATGACAAGTTACCAAACTCACAGTTTTAAATGTCAACTTGTAGGAGCCAAATACCATTGCCCTTTGAGTGCCCAAGCGAGCTGTACAGTGACGATCGCATTGGTAAACCACGCCGAGTCTCCCCGTTCGTTTGTATGGTTAGCTTAGCCTAGCCGCCTCCTATTGTTTCTATGGGTCCGGCTAGCCTTGTTTATGCCAAATTTCTAATCATTTCTGTTGCACTATTGTGGTCCAATTTGATATATAATCACCATCAAATGATTACTTTTATTGTCTTTTAGTGTCCAGTTGTTTACTTTACACTTTGTAGCGTTTTTTAGCTTTACACTGTGCCTTAAGTTATTGAAATGCCTTTAGCACTTAGCACTTGAAATCCAAAGCTGCTAGTGCTATTTGAATGTATGTTTTTTTCCATGCACTTTAATTCAAAAAGGATTTTTAATTAATCATTTTAATTGTTTTGATTAATTAATGTAACAGTCTAGTATACTGTACAATATTTGAATATTAATTAGTATTTATATATTTTATAATACCACTAGTGTTATTTAATTATATTTATACTTGAATTTGTGCACATTGATTTTACTTTGGTCCTGTTGTTTGCACAGGCCAGGTTTAGATGGCGAGCTTTAAGCCCAGGTTCTGATCTGGAACCCTGACACTCAACTCACTCCTGCCAGGAACCCCGACACCTCCACTTCCTCTGTCCGGGCTGGTAGGAGGCTCTTGTAGCCAGCGTTAAAAGCTCTCACACCTTCCACGCAATGGCTCTACGACCAATCTCAATTATCACCACTCACCGCCACTCCTCACGAACACTTATCCCTCTGAACTCCCGCTCTGGTCGTACGTTCCATATCTACAACTGTGCCTGGCAAACTGTGACTTTTTGACCTATGCAATCGGATCAATCTGTTTTTTTGGACTCTCAACCCCGATTGTTCTTTGTATTAACTACCTCACTAGATTATTGTGAAGTTTGGGTTTTTACTGAATGGCCATTCAAGCATTCATTAATATATTGTCTTTTGTCTTTTGTTTTGTCTTAATACATGGTACCAGCAAATCCAATTCAGTCTCTGTCTCCTCTCTCCCTGAGCCGCACCTTATCTTCTGCGTCATATTAACTAGTAATTACTCTTTTACTACATATTACTACAAAGTCACCGCTACAATAATCCTACACAGCGTATTTGCTACATGTGGAATGTAAGTGACTGCATCTGTTAAAGTTTGTTAAACAATAAATGACTTTATAAAGTCACTTTTTTTTTTTGGTTCTATATCAGTCTTTTGATCTGCCATAATGTAATAATGAATTTAAATGAAAATACCTCAAGTTGAAGCTTTTCTCAGCAATTTTTAGGTGAGATTAATTAGATTAATTAATTACAGATCATAATTAATTAATCTCTCAATTTTTTTTTATCACTTGACAGCACTAATAAATACGTTGACCTAATTCTCCCCTGCGTGTATTAGGTGTACTTAATGCATGAACCCATAACTTATTTCACCACCGTGGAACCAAAACACTCAAACGCTGATAATCATCATCAATCATCATCGTGAAACATCATCGTTCGTCTCATCTGCTACCGTACAAGGACTGGATGTTGACGTATGGAAGATCATTTGTTTCATCACTGAATTAAAAATGACGTAAAATTTCTCACTTTGCATTTTTTAACAGTGAAAAACATGGTTGAATTAGTTTTATTCTGAACTTTAGTTGCTGAAATTTTAAGTGTACAAGTGTTTAAAAATGAATAAATAAATAAATGAATGAATGAATTAATTAATTATTAACTCTTGTAAAATTGTACAAAAGTTTTAAAAAATTGCAAGAAAGATCCAAGATGTCAAGGCAAAAGCAATAGATCCAATGTGATCTGATCTAACTTAGTAACAAGCAGGAAATGGTGAAGCGATCTGATTGGTCAGAATTAGCCTCATCCAAAACTCATCTTTTTGTTTAATTTCTTAAGTGTAAACCTCTGTCCCAAGCCCCGGGGTTTCAAAATGGCCGCCCATCAATGGTGCATGACACCAGATTCGCATTGAGTCCGGCAAGGTCCCACCTCTTCTTTTTTCATTTAACCAATCGGTGCTATTTGGTTGTGACGTATGTAATGTGCCGCTAACGGGGCTAACTGGTATATTAAGCTTTTCCCAAATCTCGTAGGAAGAAGGGCAATAGGGTCTTTCCTCTTCATAAAATTCACCAAATATTCTCTTTATTCTGGTTTTCAATTCTCGACCTCGGGAATCGTTGACAACACAGAATATAAGGCTCTTCGCTGATTGGCTGTGCCCGAACTTGCACTTCTGGGGTTTTTGCGAACCGTCTAATGTATTTTGATTCCTGACCTAGTCGCTGGAGAGAAATTAAATTGAGCGGAGGCACCAGTGAGTGGCCATTACGTCAACTGGAGACAGCTACAAGCAGCGATACCCTATCCACTTATTTTAATAGATCCATGCTCTGGCCTCTTCACTCACACAGGATCGATTGCTTCTGCCTCGGCATCTCTTCACTGTGAAATTTTACACTACGAATTTTAACACTCTGAATTCTGACTCTTGAATTTGAGGTCTTGAAAATATATGTGCTTAATATTTAAAAGGTGATTTCTTTTACTTTGAATTTGAAACATATTGAAAATGTACACTTAAAACTTCAGCAACACAGATTAATAAAAAAAATCTGCTTCCAGAGTTAAAACATTCAAAGTAAGAAATTCAGCGTTATTTAAAATTCTAAAATATCTTCCATATTGTTGCCAGAAATAATATGTCACATACATATCTGGCTTTGGGAAAATGACAAGCTAGCTCGGCTGGACTAGGGAAGGGTGCTCGGCTGGACAGGCGCT